GATGTAGGAGGACCCACCCACTGTGGGCAGTACCATCCCCAGACAAGTCGTCCTGGGTTGTATAACAAAGCAGCTCTGAGCAAGCCAGCAAACACTTCCCCCATGGTTTCTTCTTGCATTCCCATGCTGACTTTCCTCAGTGATAGCTGTGGCCTGGAAGTTCAAGTCAAATAAATCCTTTCCTCCTTTATGCTGTTTTGGTCAGAATATTTTATCACAGCAACAGAAGGAAACAAGAACACACCTAATTCCTTTCTGTTGGAATAGCAATATTTACTGTGTGCACTGTATATTAGAAGTATGTAACTTGTTTTTTGATGCTCACATTTGAGACTGTCTTAAGTCTCAGAAGAGACTTTTGAAAAGTACTAGAACTTTAAGGCCACAGGAGGCTTTTGAAGATGGACTGAATAAACTCTGGTGACCAGGAGCAGGGGCAGCGTACTATGGTTTGAATGTGAAATGCCCCATAATCTCATGTGTTTGAATACTCAGTAACATCTGGTGTTGCTGTTTTCAGTGGTTGTAGAAACTATAGATGGTGGGGACTAGGACTAGTGGGGAGAAGTGGGTAACTTAGCGGCAAGCCTTGGAGGGTTAACAGGCTGGTTCACTTGTCACATACTGTCTCCTATCGCAGAGTTTTCAGCCACCCACGCCTTCCCCACCAAAACAGACTGGATCTCCACAAACCATGAGTCAAAATAAATCTCTTCTTCCTTATTAAAATACATATTAAAATATACTAGTATATGTTAAATACATAATAAATATAAACACTAAAATACATATCCTGCTAAAATGAGGGTACAATAACATGAAATATATCAATATTTGTAGTATCTGGAGGGGTGCAAATGTGGGGGAAGGGGAAGAGAGAGGAAAGAAGGAGAAAAGAGAGGAGCAGGGAGGAAGGACAGAGGGGAGAGGGAGGGCTGGGGGGAGAGAGAGAGAGAGAGAGAGAGAGAGAGAGAGAGAGAGAGAGAGATTATTTGCTAACCAGGAATATACACGGAGGTGCCTTTACTTTGTATTCAAGTACCAGGCAGGGGAGAAATTTTTTCTTTCCTTTTTTTATCTTATAGTATGGGAGACCAAACTCAGTGCATCTTGCATGCTAAATGTTCTCCCACTGAGTTATGCCCCCAGCCTCCAAATATACAAATTTGATTGAAGGAGGACAGAGCTAGCACTAAAGAGCCCCTTCCAACAAATTCTTAGATTAAAAATGTTGTGATTTTGCTTTTACTTCACACATATTAGCATTCAAGAACAAACAAAGACAAAGGTTGGTAGTCTCAAGAGTAAATAAGAGGAATTTGGAGACAAGGAAAAGAATACAGCAGCACCAGTTTAAAGTGTGAAACTTAAGCAAAGGTATGTCAGAAAAATCATGACCACAGGAGGTGTGAGCAACATGAAGCATGCTCTGTAGCATGTTGGAAACTAAGAATGTAAGTCTAAGAGCACACATGGAGGTTACAAGAGAGGGTTACCTACAATATAACACTCATCTTCACATGCCAGGAAGCACTATACTTAACATGAGGGCATGAACAGTGAAAGGACCGACTAATGGTCTGCATGAATGGTGAGACCTATGAGACTAAGAGCCTTTGAAGTCTAGAAAAGAAAGGTATTTAAAGGTGGAATTTCAGTCTGTCCCACCCGTATTCTGTTGTCACTGAAATGTGTACCTAGGACTGGTCACAGTCCACTCACTCCCATCTTCCCAGGGGGCTAATCAAAAACAAGGAAGAGAAAACCTGACACTCACACATGAATACACTGCTATAACAATGAGCATCTGAGGAGTCTAACACTGAAATAACTACACTGCAGCAACCAGGGCAGCACAGCTAGTAACACGCCAAGAGCAAGACCACAGCTGCAACATCAGAGAAATACAACAAAGGAGTTGTGTTTTCATATTTTTTTAAAAGTCAGATGATAAAGCAGAGTCTTCACAGTACAATGGTAAGCAAACAAACCCCTTTCAAATTAGACTTCTACATCAAGCAGAACCATCATTCAAGAATTGCTTGCAGACTCGGGGAACATCATAGGAGGCAGAATGTATATAAGAGCTGGAGGATGGGGAGGAGGGCTGTAAATGCTATCTTCTGGAAATGACATGGGTATAGTACTAACGAACCCAAAGCAGCTATGTTTACCTGCACAAGATCAAGCCAGCCAAAATCCTGGCAGAGATGGGGTAGATGATCAACAGACTCCACCCTTTACTAAGGAGCTTTCGGCCATTAAAGTTGCTGGGAGGGGGACAATCATTCTTTATTGAGGATGTGGTCACTGGTAGGTTTCCTGTGGTAGGTTTCATATTCCAGTGCATGGCCCCACACCCATGTACATATTGGCAGGAATTTCTGGAGTTAGTGGGTCATCAACAAAACAAAACAAAATAAAGCAAAAACAATGGACAATGAAGTTGGGAAGGATATGTTAGGAGGGATATGGGGAGAGTTGGAGGGGAAAATGGTGTATATATGGTGATATTTCACTGTATACATGTATGAAATTCTCTAAAAGAAAAAAAAATAAATAAAGGACTGCTTGTAGCCATGATGGAGCAATGGGGGCAAGTTATACTCTTACTTTAAAAAAACAGTCTGCGCAACATAGAGGAAGCCATAGTTTTCAAATACTAGGTAACAGGTAGAGGAGACCATGGTTTTTCAAATACTAGGTAACAGGTAGCATGGAGCAGAGATCCTTGGGAGAGGGGAAATGAGGAAGGTAAGCCCAGGAACTTCCCTACTCAATGCTTGGCCCAAGTTCCTAGGCTGCAGCATAAGGTGAGAGTACTCAGACAGAGCTGAACGGTCCTTGTGAGTTGAGGAAACACCATTCAGGGCTTGGAAAATTAAAGGTCACTGAATTTGTGGTCGGAGCAGCAAAAGACACACAGAGGAGTGCTGAAGATGTGAAGGCTCTTGGAGTCTCCAGCAGCCAGAGTAGAAAGCCCTCTAAACCATTAAGGCTTTGGATGTTGAAAAGGCAGCTACTGAGAAGAAGGGACAAGTTAGCATTAGAGGGAATACGGTTCCACTCAGTCCAGAAGAACCTAAAAGTAAGCTTCAAAGACACAAATGATTTCTAATTAACTATATACGAGAATAAAGCCTCCAATAGTTAAATAGAAAATACTGGAAGATATAATACACAGTGCTTGGCATATTATCACAAATTACTAGGCACATAAAAGAATCAGAAAAGATTATTTCAATGAGAAACCAATAAACAGAGACTTAGAAATAACAAAGGTGACAGAATCAGTATATAAGGAAATTAAAACAGCCATTATAATGACATTTCATATATCAAGAAGGGAGAGAAAAGCAGAAGCCTCAGAAAGAAAGACACTATTAAGACAACCCAACTCAATGTTAAGAGATGAAAAAATAAAATGTCCAGATTAGAAATGGAGCTCAGTGGTACAGCAGTGGCCTAGCACACAGTAACCCTGGTTTCATCTCCAGCACTGAAAAATCAAAGCAAAACAAAAACTATGAGATCAAACTGTCTGGATGGGATTAGCAGCATAGTATGAAGCAGAAGAAAGTATTCATCTATTTAAGGACATAGCAATAGAGCCATCAGAAATGCGACACAGGAAAAAAAAAAAGAAAGAAAAGAACATAAGTGAGTGTCGAAGAGTCATGGCAGTCTGCTATGTACGCTCAAGTTCAGGAAAAAGGGGGGGGGTGTTTGTAAAGAAACAGTGGCTAAAAACTTTAAACCCAAATATCCAAGAAGCTAATGAACATGAAGAAAACTCACCAGTTATATGATAATCAGTTTTCTTCCAGGGATAAAGAAACAATTTTTTTTTTTTTTTTTTTTTTTTTTTTAAGCAGAGTCAAAGTTAAAAAGATATAACATACATAAGATGCTATTACCAGGCAGAGTAGGGAATGGGAGACGGCAAGAAATTCTCTTCCATTATCTAGAGGAAGGACACTTACAGGTTCATTCCAGATATCAAGAAAGCAAACTGAAGTATATGTATTAAGAATTCAATGGGTGACTATTAAAAAAATCTATTTTTCCGCTGGGCATGGTGGCACATGCCTTTAATCCCAGCACTTGGGAGGCAGAGGCAGGCGGATCTCTGTGAGTTCAAGGCCAGCCTGGTCTACATAGTGAGTTCCAGGACAGCTGGGGCTACAGGGAGACCCTGTCTCAAAAAGACAAAATAAAAAAAACAAAAAACCAAAAAAAACCTATTTTTCTATGCTATAATCTCATAGAAAAAAGTCTTATATCAACTAATAAACAATTTATAAACTTACATTACATGTGTAACAAGTCTAACAAAAATATATTACCATATAATTGATGCATTTTCTACATGAGCAGGATGCTTCATGGGATGCTGAGCTGAGACATAATCCTCAGAGTTTTTTTGTTTTTGTTTTTTAAATCCTCAGTTGTTTTATGACATTTTGCCAACTCTACAACCAAGAACTACTAATAATTTCAGTAAGTAGTAAGATGATTATCTCAAAACCTAGATAAATGACTTAATTTTATTAACTGGCATAGCTGGAGGCTTTAAGGTTTCTAACATGCTTTTCAACAAATATAGAGTAATACAAATATTCACACAAACATCTGTCTCCCATTTTTCTTTTAAAATTGTTTGTTACTAAACAAAAATATACTGGGAAAAAATCCAGCAATTAAGAACTTATTTCTCTAATATGAAGATCTGGGTGTTAAACTCACTTTACTTTTTAAAATAGAGAACAGAATGTAGAATAATGATAAATTTCATATTTGGTATAAAATACATCAGAAAACAGGTTAAACAAGGATATGTGAGAACTTTATATTCAATGCATTACTTTTGCATGTCTTTAATTTCTTTTATTATGCGTATATTGCTAGGCCAGGATCCTTTTTTACTTAGACTTACATTATTCCAGATCTTAACTCTGAATATTGGTATGTTCAAAATCTCAAGGAAAAAAATACCATACCACATGTCCCTCAGCTCGGGCTTTATTCTGCATGGCTTCTCGTTTCCGCTGGAGAAATTCTTCTACTTGCTTGGCTCTCTCTGCAGCTAATTGTCCTTTTTGCCTATTTTGGACAAATCACAGAGTCAGTTGTTTTAAGTATTAAATTCCAAATAACAACTTTACTTATTCTAAATTATTTTTTTATAGCGGAATATGAAGGCTGAAACAAAATAAAACTTTTCGCTGTAATGAAGAAATTGTGTATGTACTGACAAATTATCTTAATTAAATTCTTTACCATTTTAGAAGCAAGTAAAATCTTAACACTACAAATCTTGACAAAATTCATTTTATATTTATTTGATGTATTTTACTGACAGAATTATGAGATCATTTCAGATGATACCATCAGCAGAAATTCTAACTTTATTTCAGTATTCTATCAAATATACCTATCAAGGAGAAATTTTCTTTAATAATTATATGAGTCAAAAGTAACCAGTATAGCAGAAATTTAAAAAAAAATAATTGAAAGTGGGGACTGGAGAGATGGTTCAGTGATTAAGAACACTGTTCTTGCAGAAGACCCGGGTTCGAATACTAGCACCTACATGGCAGCTAACAACTGTCCATAACTCCAGTTCCAGGGGATCTGACAGCCTCTTCTGTCCTCTGCAGGCATTGCACAACATGGGTGTACTTACCTACATGTAGGCATAACCCTCATACATGGGAAAATAAAAATAATAAATAAAAAAAAATTTTTTTTTTGGTCTTTTTGAGACAGGATCTCCCTGTAGCCCGACCTGTCCTGGAACTCACTATGTAGACCAGGCTGGCCTTGAATTCACAGAGATCCGCCTGCCTCTGCCTCCCAAGTGCTGGGACTACAGGTGTGTGCCACCATGCCGGGCAATAAAATATTTTTAAAAATAATAATGAAAAGTTTATTCAAGTGTGAGTTATCAAAACCACAGCAAAAAGCTATGTCCTTATCATAAGTATTGAACAAAATAAATGGGTTAGGAAAAAACCATTCTTTTAAAATGGTTTTATCAATGCTGTTGTCATGAAATGCTTCTTCTAATTATATGGTTATTAAATAAATAATTTTAAAAAATGGTTTTAATCTTCTGTCATGTTATTTCTACATCTTTTGCTGACAATGATGAAAGAATACAAATATGTTGAGTACAGACAGCAAAGGAAAAAGTGGTAAACATTTACTGAACATCTATATGGTGTGTCAGTTAGCATCCTAAATATGAGCGTAATAAACAAACAAATTCTAGCCCCAGTAATCAGAGAATTCATAGCATAACATCAACTGTGGTTAACTTTGGAGATGAGGAAGAGAGATGAGCAAGTCACTGTCTGTGTTGCACTTGGACTGTGGCTAGTATTGCACACAGACTTCCTGTAGCTTCTTTTTGGGGGGACCATAACTAAGTTATGTTCTGAAAAAAGGCAAAACTTAATGCTTTTTCTGTCATCCAGTGAAATTAAAAAACAATTCTCTTTCCACAAGTAATCAGTTCTTCAACAATTTTAGCAACAACTGACATTTCATATAGTCACGAAGGGAGAGAAAAGCAGAAGCCTCAGAAAGAAAGACACTATTAAGACAACCCAACTCAATGTTAAGAGATGAAAAAATAAAATGTCCAGGTTAGAAATGGAGCTCAGTGGTACAGCAGTGGCCTAGCACACAGAAACCCTGGTTTCATCTCCAGCTCTGAAAAATCAAACCAAAACAAAAACTATGAGATGAAACAGTGTCTGAATGGAATACTTAAATATTTTAAATATGAAATTAAGCTGTAAAAACCTGAAAGCTACTCCAATGCATTCCTAACAATGATAGTGGTCTTTGCCTTATGTGGTATTTAAAAGAGATTCTTGTGAAATTTCCACTACAGGGTATCTTCCAGGATTAGATAATATCTGTAATTTGTTTAAGGGCCAATTACTATGATATTCAGTTTTTTTCTGACAGTTACTATAGTTGCACATAACAGATCTGAAATTCACGCTGTACTAGCTTGAGTAGGTGGAGAATAATGAACCAGAAATTCATTCATGCCTCTGAAGTATGTATATGCTGTCCTCTATCAGACCTATTATGCACTATACAACTCTGAGATTAATCAAGTATATCCGGTCTGAATGCAGCAGGATTCTGCATATATCCAGGTAAGGCAGTATCCTGCTTTGCTACAGCTCCATTTACTAAGCCTGAGCCTGAAAAGGGTAGATAGTAGTATGCTTGGACATGTCATCCAAAACTGTATGACAACTTGATAGGTTCTTTCTGGGGGGTCTTGGAAACATATACCACCATCTGCAATTAGATAAAACAGCTAATCCCTCTGCCGTATATCATGGTGACCTTAACAGAGGTGAAATATGTTTCATTTCCCATCTGGTGACAAAGTTTATACACAGTGTTTCCAGGATGAAATGCCAAGAGGCATATATTAACACAGTTATCTACCGCACAGTATTTTACTGAGAATGTGATCATATGTATAACAGCATTGATTTACAGACTTTTCACACTGCTTATGCATACATGGCATTACCTGCTTAATGCATGTTAACTGTTGCTTCATTCAACAGTTATCTCCTAAGCTGCTTTAAATATGCTTGCTTATAGGTCTGACTGCTTTCAAACACAAACTCAAAACCTGCAGTGATCATTTAAACATTCTTTTTCCTTCTCATTTATTAAACAAATACTTAAGTGTTAACCATTTGCCATATTATGGCAACTTCTACAGATATAAAGAGTTTCAGGAAGCAAAGTTTAACAAAAAAAAACCAATCAGACAGGGTGTGGTGGCACACGCCTCTAATCCCAGCACTTGGGAGGCAGAGGTAGACAGATCTCTGTGAATTCAAGGCCAGCCTGCCTGGTCTATATAGTCAGTTCCAGGCAAGCTGAGGCTACAGGAAGACCCAGTCTCAAAAAGACCAAAAAAAAAAAAAAAAAAAAAGTAATAATAACAATAATAAGAGTTTGAGTAATTCTGTGACTTATGTTAAAAACATGTAAAATAAGTTTATTTTCCACATACATTACTGTTTACTACTATTTTGGCAAATATCTTTTTTCCAAAAATCTGCTTCTATAGCAAAATTAAAAACTGGATATCCTCAATTAGGTTTCAAATTCAGTTTGTTTTACAGACCTAGAAAATAAACTGACCTAAATGAAAGCCATAATAATAGGCATTAGATGCTCAAAATAGGCAGAGGGAAAGGTATTCTACTAGAATACTGGATATAAAAAAATTAAAATAAGCCTTTGCTTCCTGGGCTGCACAGACTCTGGTGTCCTGGTGCCAGCACCTTTCTTCAGTAACTCCAGCGCACCCACCACGCCTTGACTCCCCCAGCCTCTTTTACCCTCCCAGCTCCCCTACCACATCTCTCCTCCTAGTCCATGTCTTGTCTTGGCACCCCAGACACCAGGGCTAGTCTCTCAGCCCAGAGATACCACTGCTTCCTGATTCTTTGCATCCAGAGGAACCAAGTCCCTCCCTGTGGTCCCCAGGAGCCTCTGGGCCAGGTCCTGCCTTCATGTCCCTTTGTTTCCCTGGGCTGAACAGCCTCCAGTGACCAGGTGCCAGAACCTTTCCTGGTCTCCAGGAGCCCTCTGGGCCAGGTCCCGCCCTCACCACCCTTAGCTTTCCGGGCTGCACAGTCTCCAGCATCCTGCTGTCAGCACCTTTCCTGGGTAAGTCCTGCAGTGCCCACCATGCAGCCATTCACCCTCCCAGCTCCCCTCCTACCCTAGGTACTGGACCATTTCTTGTCTTGGAACCACAGACTCCTGGACTGACCTCTAGGCTCAGAATCCCCACTGCTTCCTGATCCTCTGCATCCAGACCAACCCAGTTCCTCACAGTAGTAACCAGGAGCCCTCAGGGCCTCTTCTGGCCTCCACCTCCCTTTGCATCCCTGGGTGGCACAGTCACCAACTTCCTGAGACCAGCATCTTTCCAGGGCGCTGCTCCCAGGCCAGTCCAGCCCCCATATTCCTGAGGGCAGCATCTTTCCTAGAGGGATCCAGACCTTAGGAGAAAGCCTGAGAGCAGCTGATCCTAACCTGACTTGGGCCTCTCTGGGAACTCCTGAGGACAAAAGCAATCTGGCCACTCTGATATAATATCAAAAGAGAGAATTGGAAGCTTTAGACAAACCAGCTTTTCATGACCAACAAGTAAACCACAAAGGCACATAAAGTTTACAAAAAGAAGCAGACCTAAACTTGAAAACTCGTGTCTCACAAAAGAATTAGAAACTACAAAAGAAATTCACATGTCAAAAGTCACAGAGAAAAAATAATAACATGAAAAACCAAAATAATATATCCCCACAAAGCACCATCAGTCCTCTAGAGGAGTACAATGAGAACCCCGTAGAGATAATACAGGACATGGAACTCAAAGAATTCACTGAATTTAAAGAACACACAAACAAAGAGATTAAAAAACTGAAGGAAGATAGGGATAAAATTCTAAATGAATTCAGAAAAGAGTTAGAAATATTGAAGACTACTCAGGCTGAAATGAAGAAGGAAGTGAAACACTCAGTAAGCCAATTAGAAACGACAAGAGAAAGCCTCACCAATAGGATGAATGAAATGGAAAACAGAATATCAAGACTGGAAGATAAAGTGGAAAAATTAGACCACTCAAGAAAAGAGTATGAATGATTTAAGAAAACACAAGAATAGAATATGCAAGAATTGTGTGACACCATAAAAAAAAAAAAAAACTTACGAATCACAGGCATACAGGAAGAAGAAGAATTTCAAGATAATGGTATGGAACAGAACTTCAACAGGATTGTAGAAGAAAATTACCCCAAATTAAAAAAAGACATGCCCATACAAATACAAGAAGCACACAGAACACCAAATAGACAGGACCAGAAAAGAAACTCTCCATGGCACATCATAGTAAAAACACCGAATGTTCAAAGCAAAGAGACAATAGTGAAAGCTGCAAAAGAAAAACAAAAAATCACATACAAAGGAAAACCCATCAGGATTACAGCTGACTTGTCAGTGAAAACTATGAAAGCCAGAAGAACCAGCACCAAAGTATTCCCAGT